TGTAGGTGTTTAAAGCACTAATTATCATTTCTACAGATCTCTTTCAATGTTACCTAAGCAGTATTGCCAAATACATTTTGAAACCATAGCCATATGTGTGATTCACTATCTGGCCTGGCCAGTTTGGTAAGAAATTTATTCTCAATTATTTACAATCAAGGTTTTGCTTTGAGTGATACCATCAGGGGAATCTTGAAGACTCGAGATAATAAGAAGTAAATGATTGACATACTTCCACAATAGGCAAAAAGCCAGGAATGTCAAAAAGATTAGAAGAGGCTTCTATTAGCTCACTGCTAATATCCTCCATGCATTGCCATGCCCTAGACTTAACTGAAACAATTAATAAATCTTTTAAAAGAGAAAGCCCCACCTTCAGTTGGAAACACACACTGTGTGGAAAGATACTGAGGGGCTGAAATGCTCTATTTCTGACAGATTTAACTGCCAGACTTGGCAATATCTGTTGAATCCTTCATAAATTCATGACACTTCATTTGGGATTGAAAATAGCTAAATGTGCTCAAGTTTGCCCAAAATATGTCGGAGCTGCTAATCCTCTGCTGTTAAAAAGGAGGGATAAACCTGACGTGTCAGGGCAGGAATCAAGCTCATAAGCCCAAACTATCTGACTAGCTGCACTTGCCTCCTCCTCTGGCTGTGCGTGGGAGTGAGCCAGCTACCAGCCAAGACAGGGTCGTTGTCACGAGGATGATCTTGCTCACATGTGAGCTTTGCTTCCACACAACTGCCTTGAGCTACTTGGCTCTAGAAACTTGAGCCCAGCTATCAAAGACGTAATGGCACTTCATCTGACTCCCACGTAGTCATCACATAGTTCCAGAAAGGAAAAAAAAAAAAAAAAAAAAAAAAAAATCTCTGTTGCAATGTCTAGTCTGACCTTTTGGTGATTTTTCATTCATTTAAATGACAGAAGAGACTTCAGAAATAGGAAACAAACCTAATCAGGAGAAAGGTGCTACTGCGCACTCTTCTTAGGACAGTGGACCAAATCCATCCTTGGTGCTAACTCCTTACAAGCCAGAATAGCAGCTGAACTTGTCCAAGCGTGCCAACTTCCTTTTGGCTGTGTCTGTCCAACCATCTAAATTTTGTCAGTGTAATTTGACCCTTTGTTTTGCTCAAGAGAATTTCCTCAAGACCTCAACACAGAAACTGCCTGGCATTGGCATATGAGCTGTCTCAGTTGCCCAGATTATCTCACCTCATGCTCTGAGGAGGCCAGAGGTGCTACTTTGTCCTACCAGAACTATAACTGGCCACCAAACATGAAAAAACCCCAACCTTCTAAATCTTCACAGAGTCTTCAGCAGGTCTGTTTGTTTTAAAACACCTGCTACTAGCTACTTGCAGTAAGGATCATGCCACTGGAGCTGGCCCCTAACCACTGCACTTACAGAATGGGCTGAAAAGGTTGAATTTGAGAACTGCTAAATCTGACGCTGAAGACCAAGGTGTGCTCTTGCTAATAACTATCACTCTAGATTTAAGCACGTTACTCCAGGATAGCAAACCACCACTCTGAAAGAGAAGGACAGGATCTGGCTGCTGTTAGGGTAGTGGTGTCTGGTATAACAAAAACACACTGCTGTCCATGTAAACAATCAGGTGACGTCTCCTCATGGGTTGAGTCATGCATGAGTCCTGACTAACGCATGAGCCCCAAGGCTCTTTCAAGCACAGAACTGGCTTGCCAAGGGAAAGGAGTGGAACCTAAGTTTTCTCAAGTCATTGTACTGCCTCAAAGAAGCACGGTACAGCCTCCGGACACTGATAATTGTGTAATAACTTGTCTTCATTTTTGCTTTGAACTCACAGCAAAGAAAGGGGCCAGTTCTGCACTGAGGAAAGTAATTAAGACAACTGTAATTTTATACCACCTTTCTGGACTGCACTCAGATTTTTAAGGTTGCTTACCAGCTGCTACTCAAATTCATTCTTCTTCAGAGAGCTATCATGGCATTGCACAACTCTCATCCCTACTCACTTTTAGCTTTTGCAAATAGGATGGCAGCCCTGTGCTGCGGATGCAAACCTAACAATCCATGGATGTTTATATTCCCTTTACGGAAAAAAAATCTACTGTTGGTGTAGTACGATCTACTGAACCTTAAAGGTCTTGAAGTGATTCTCCCTTGCGTTTTCTTGTGCTGAAAAAGTGGAGGAGAGCACTCATTTGTTTTGTGAGGCTGGACTGTGTTCATCTGTAAATAGAACACTTCAAGTTGCTGACCATTTTCATGTAATACAAAGAGCTTTATCTCGGGGAATTGACAAGAACATAAAATAAGGTTGCCTTAAAAATAGGCTGTTAGTGTTTTTTTCTGTTTGGTCCTTCTCTAACAGGTCACCAGGACTGGAACAAAAAGAAGTGATTGAAGAAGCTTGTTTTGCTTGTTACTTACTGGACCAACGCACACCGATCTGCTACACAAACTGCAGTGAGACCCAAGGATGAGGAATTTGTCCTTGTCAGGGGTGAAAGGATCCTTCATAACATAGCTTTCTTCCAAAAGCCTGTAAGAGAATAATTTCAGGCTTTTAAGGGTAGATTTCACAGTATGGGAGAGTTGAAATGGGGAAATTGTAGGGGCTGAAAGGTATCAGCCCTTTCTACTTGATTTGCTCAGCCTGGTGTTGTAAATGAGGCAATGTAGCAACTATGCAGCTCCCTCTTCGAAACCAACATTGTGGCTGCCTTCAGTCCTATACCGCACTTTCTGTCTTCCAAAGTTAGGGTGATAATCTCAACGTTGTATTGCTAGGTTTTTCTCAGTGCTCTACCTTCAAGTATTTTTTTATCTTCCATTTTTATGACAGGCACCTTCGCATGGCCAACTTCAGTACCTTGTCAAGTTACCATTTCAATTGCACAGCTTTTAATTGGAAGTTCTGTTCCAAAGCTGTGTACCTATGAGTGTAAAATAAAAAGGGTTTACTGCTCTTGGTTATGTCACTGCTGCAAAGCTAAGGTTCCCACCTCTTGCAAGCAAGAGCTACTAGCACAGAACATTACAATGACCTGAAACATGCTTACTTTATGTCAGAGACCATACTGTTTGCTTCAGGGTACTAAGGGAGTGCATTTATTAAGAATTTGGCAACCTGCTTGAGAAAGACTAAGGCCTTATTCTTCCTGGGAGCTCCAGGCAAAATATTACAGAAGTCAGTTGGGTGTCTGTCTGCACAAGGCACCCTGCAAGGCTGGCTTATTCTTGGACTTACATCAAACTTGGATTCTGTAGTAATATGGAGTGTAATACATATTTAAAAGATATTCCGTTAACTCATACTGCCTTCCCCTTCTCTACGCACATATACAGACACACATGTATGTTTGTGTCTGTGAGTGTATTCCTTTTTCCTTTTCCTCTCTACTCAAAAAAACGCTATGGCTCAAGCCTTCCACTGTTAGGAAAGGTAAGGCACCTTAACTTGGCAGATCACCTGACAAGTCTCCTAGTGTACAAAGACTGGATTACCTTTGCAAAGCTCTCCTTGCAAGATTCACACTCTTAATGTAGTCATCATCAGGGCAGAGACCTGGCCATGGTACCAGCCTTCATGGCTGGCATGTGTTCCTGCAGCACTGCATTTAGGACATGTGAGTAGACCAGCAAGTAAGCCAATAAAGATAGTGCGTAAAGCTGTTTCTTATAGGCATGTACAGAAGTGTTATGCTTCAGCATTATTTTTTTGCTTTTTGAATCTCAGCAATCCAAATAAAGCTGAGATGTTAACACTGAGCTTGGATAACCTAAAGTTAAGATTCGTGTTCAGCTTTGATTCAGACTCTTTACAAATGGACCCGATCAAAGGTGGGCTATTGCCCTGCTGAGCAGACGAGGGAAAACCAGCAGCACCATGAGATTTGGAATGATAAAAATACAGCTGCCCAAGTAAAAAAGATCTGATCTCAGCCCAAGCAGGTGGTGATCAACAGCTGCTTCCATTACATAAGAAACTGAGCGGTCTTAGTGAGGTGAAATGCTGAGTACATGTCTGACTTCCAGTTCCAGTGAGTTCCCGATCATGTTTGCCTGATGGGTTCATTGACCAGGACAGCCTCAACAGAGCTACTCATACATTTAAAATGAAGTGCTTTGTTTTATGGGGAGTTTAATGTCTGCAGACAAAGTTGTAACTGCATAGTTTCTGGTCAAACTATCCCTACTTTGCAGAGATGGAAAAGGCTTCAGTCTCCCAGAATGTAAATATGTACTAAATTTCCACACACTTCAATGTCATACAATCTGCCAAAGAATTGTCTAATTCATGCAAAAAGCATTGCTGTTCAAAATTCCACATCATGTCAAACAGCTCGTAAAAAGTGTTTTTACCATATGTATTTAATTCATGCTGTGTTTACATGTTGCCCAGCTGACACAGCTGTGAAGAAAGGGCTATTCCCAGAAATGCTAGGCTGACAGTCAACAGTATTCTAGTAAAAAAATTATGGTAAATAGTAGGGTGGCCAGTGGGGTTAGGAATAAGTTAAAATACAAATCTTTGCATGGTATTGAAGCAGGACAGGAAAGTTGATTTTTGTCTTTGCTATCAAAGCTGACAATTTTTAACATTTCTTCCCTTGGGAAAAAGAAGGTCACTTTAAGTACCAAGCCTTGTATTCAGGGGCAATATGGCATGTTATTGGGTTCACACAGAGCACATCGTTCCACAGTACAAGGCTTCTAATGCTCACAGCATAAATGAAGTCTGCAATATGAAAGACTGTACTTACACAATAGAGTGTGTGTTTGGTGGCTTCTGCCCATAGTACGTATACGGAGCTGTTAAGCCACATAGCTGACATTTGAACTCTCCTGTAGGCTGAGCTTCTTTGGGAGCATCCATCTTCAATCTACCTACAAGAAACACAAAAATCATGTCAATCCAAAATGCAGCACTGGGAACATGCGGGCAAGGAGATTAAACTGATGTGGGACATATGGCTATGCAAATTAAAATCCAAGAGAAAATTGACTATTGCAAACCTTGATTAGTAAATCTTTTCTCCCAAATCAAGTTGGTTTCCTATGTCTCAGTTAAATTTCAAAATTCTTTACAGAGGTTTAGAAATTGCAGGCTAGGAGTCTAACTATAAAAGTTCACCCATTAATTTAGAACCCGATCCATAAATTAATTTTGGTAACAAAGTGTATGGCTGTGACTGGAAAACCCTTTGCTCAGCCAAGGCTTATGCTCCCTAAGCACTTCCCAGGAAGCGACTCCTCATTTGCTGTGCAGAATCCCAATCCAAGTTCTGCAGAATCCCAACCCAGCTCTGCAATGCCTGTCTCCTCCCACAAACTGCAAACGGAGCCATGAAAGGGTCTTGGGACCCTGCTCAGAAGGCAGGTACCAGAAAGGCAGGTGTTGCAATGACTTGCTATGTCTTTTTCTTTGCTTCTCGTTCACCTTCAAATAGAATTTTAGGAGCTTAACCCTGGCTCCCTGTTCTTATCTGGCTTCCTATGGCAACGAGGCTGATGTAATCACCCTGTGCCTAGATAGTGTTGGCCTATTCAAGCCACACAGAACAGAGGAGGAGGTACCGTCAAAAAAGTTTAGGTCCTACAACTTTTATGAAAATAGGCAGAAGAGGGAGATTGGGCTTTATCCTCATGGAGGGCACCCATATATTTCTATAAATCAGAGAAATCTGCACATGAGAAAGCTATTGTCCATCTGTCTGAAAGATTTCAGACACCCATTACAAAGGTGTAGCTATCAGTCATGAGATATAAGATGTTGGAAACCATGCTTCATCAGCTTTGGTACTTACAAGATGACTTGTTTAAAATCTTGGCCATTGATTTGCATTTGGGAGCTTATCCAGCTGATACCAGTTTACTTGAGAGTCACACCCTGCGGTTTTCAAAAAGCATGGTGCGGCAAGTATGCTTTTAGGACTGATTTTGGTATGTATGCACGATCAGATCAAACACAGCTAACCAATGTGCATGCCCAAAATCGCACCAGTCCATGAATGGAATGTGATCACTTGTTTGCAAACTGGGTACCTTCGCTCACCTGCACCATTTTCTCGAACGGACACATTCGCCTTGCAGTGAGCAAGAAAACTCAAGCTTTTAGCTAAAAGCCTCCACACTTTTCACAGCATGCAGTTTTCTGCTGCAAACCTGCCAGCTTTTTTAAGTGAAGTGGAGCTGGCATCAAGCTGTTAGGAAGGTGAGCACGAAGCACTTGGATTTAAGCAATGTCTCAGCAGTTAGGCTGTCTGAGCTCATAGCTGGGCAGACATACAGCCTGCCAAAGGACAGCAGGCCATTTCCTCTCTTCTAGATTTGTAGCCATACCATTCCCCTCCAGAGCTGATTCACTTCACTAAGGCCCTGTCCCTATTTATGTTTTAGCTCAGCTCGGGGGTTTTCCGAGGGAACAAATCGCCTGGCTGTCCCCGCTCACCACACTTGGTTTGCATTGTGGAGCAGTCTTAAGGCACACAAACTGGACAGTTTCAGGTGAAACTACACTGAAAGATGTGCTTCAGAAGCACACCTAATACACTCCAACCTGGACGCCCGACTAATGGCCATCCAGTCTACAGGCTAGGACCCGAGGTAGTCCGAAACATCCTGAAACCCGGAGAGGGGGCAGCTGGTATCCAACACCAAACACCTTGGCCTATGGTTTCACTCTTACTGCATCACACTAGTTACTAACGTGGTAACAAATAAAAGAACTTTATTTTTTTTCCTTCCAATGTCTTTTTTTTTTCCCCTCTTGTTTTAGGGAACTAAATTGGCTTGCAGAGGTACCCAACAACCGCTAACAGAGGCACAAGGTAAGAGGGAAAACTGCACAGCCAGGAGAAAGGGAGGGCTGAGATGAGGGACCAGTATTTCCCTCTTTCAATGACAGTAAGCTGCTATTTCTGCTCACTCTATGTGGTGAAACTGAATCCTTAGAGACATATGCTGCTAAGGTGAATTAGGGGCAAGGTGAAGCAGAGCTGTGACTACTTGTCTTCTAATGTTCCAGAAGAACAGGGAGCCCCAAAATCCTCAGAGGTTACAGAGGCTTCGTAACAGGCACGCGGCTCAGAAAGCCCTAGCCTGTTAAATCCTGAAACTTAATTTTGGGAATAATCTCCCTTACCTCATCATTCCTTCACCACCAGCCTTTCCATTGCCATTCCTGGCCTTTCAGTAGTACAGGGAGCTCTTCAAATGTAACACAAATGGGACTGGGTAATGGTTTAATAAAGAGATCCAACTCATGAATACCTTAGGCAACTACATTTTTTTGAAAGTGATGTAACCCTTGGATATCGTGTATTTTCCCTACCTCATGGGGATGCTTGACAGAATTTAATTAACTAAAGTGCTTTCAGATTTTTCAGTTAGATATAAGGCATGTACATGCTACCTGTTTCTCCCTATACATTAAACCTGGGATTCTTCAAACTATACACAAACTCAACTAAGAAGTCTGCTTTGTGAACTCTGCATTTCAGGTTTACCAGGTAAGTCCCCCAAATGTACTGAAATTTACCTTTTCTGTAGGTAGTCACTAGCAGTACCAAGACACCCACCTGTCTGAATGAGATTCAGTCCCAAACATTGTATGCAATTTTTTGTAATCAATCTTTTTTAAAAAAGGGAAATAATTAACCCCACAAAGGTAAAGTATGAAAAATCACTTGAATCAAATACACAAGACCGACATGGTGATCTTTTCTTTAAAATAAAGCAAAACACTAAGAACAACAACAACAAAAAAAGATTATTTATGGCAGTGAGGATCATAGACTTTGGAATGAATGTGTCCCGATTCCAAGTGAAAATAACAGCCCTGGGTTCAGAGCTGAAGTACGTTAGATATAGAAACACCTGCTCTCTTATTAGACCATTGGCATGTAGAACAGAATCTGTCCAGTGACTACCACTGGGAAGGAATGGTATCTATGTACAAACAGATTTTTGGCTATGCCAGTTGAAAAGCATATGATCCTGCCTGCAAGGCAGAGATCAATTTATGACGCTTTCCATTTTACTCCCAGCTTACAAGTCACTGGTATCAGCTGTACCAAGTTTTATGTCACTGGGAACATCATTTGTCCTGAGAGCTTGTCTGCACAGCAGCACTTGGGAAAGTTAAGGTCACTAACTCAAGGTGTAAAGTTAATACACACGCAGATTTCAGGGTGAATGCTCCCATTCAGAAGTAAAGTTTGCTATGTAACAAAATAAAGCCATTTTCCTTCTGGAGAAAGAAATTCGATGGCAGATGTAATAAACTTTTAGTTTATGCATGTGCTTCACACCTTTAGTCTCAACCACCAAGGAGGCAAGTCCTAAGATGCACTTTCTGACAAAGCTTCTACCACTTCCAAAAAGCTCATCTGCAATTGAAGAACTGTATCTTTATGTCAGATAGCAAACGCACAGAAGCAATCCTGGGATGAAACCACGGTCGAGACAGGCACCAGTTTATCACAAAGTAAGCTCGTTGGTTTGGCCCTATACACCATCTTAGCGAGATGCCTGATATGACAACCATGACAAGGTGGCTGCCTCCCCTCCAAGCAGACATATGAAGCATGGGTGAGAACTCATTCCTCTCTAGCATACCAACAACAGGATGAAGCATCTCTTGAGGAGATAAAAGTCTACGGCACTAATCCCTTTACAATCACAACACGCAAATTTGTAATCTCAAGTGACTCAAATCATCACCAGTGCTAACACTGTCTTCTTCTCTTTTCCTTGAGAATTTTTGATGCAGCGCCATGTCCCAGTAACATGTCAAATATCTGGCCGGCTGGTATGTACTGAAGAAGTCTTTTATAACAGCTTGTTTAGAACTGAATTCTGCCCAAACGCTTGCCATTTTGGCTGGAAGCCGCAAGGTACTTAAAACACGTACTTTAAGCACATGCATAGCTCTTCTGAAAAGAACACAGCTACCCACACATGCTTGATTACGAAGCAAACACTGAACTAGCACGCTCAGCAGAAACCTGCCAAGTCAAGCCCAGAATGCTGCAGGACGTGCGTGGGGGCTGGCCCACGTGTCATGGCGAAAGGTAAAGCACACGGGTTTGAATGCCATACGAAAGAAATAATTGCAGGAAAAGCAAGGTGCAGGTTAGATAGATAGCAGTGCTGTTAAGAGTGTTTCTCCATGCTGTGACTGATACGTGATACGGATGTGGGGAAATGGCTCTCAGTGCAGTTCTCTAGGGACTCCTAAAAACTTCAGGGCAGTTCTGCTCGGAGCATTCTGCTAACAGGCCTGGAAGGCATGCCAGAAATAATAAATCACCATTAAATTGTCAGGGTCAGTGGCAAAGTAGTGGCACAGATAAGTAATCTGATTTTCTTTGCTTCAAACCTCATTAGCACAAGTCTTTACAATGCATAGGTTAAGCCCCTCTTAATACTCCACAGGAGACTCATGTATTTCTGAGTCACTGATAAACTAGAGAAACTACACAAGAAACAAACTGCCTAGAAACAGATGTAGACTTTGATTTGAAAGGGTGTCAGATAAAACCAACATTGACACACCTTTAATCCTCTCCAATTAAACCCTTGCTTCTTTTTCCTGACAAGATTCTCCTGCAGTATCCACCGTTGATGACGACGACCTACTACAATATTCACAGCTTGATTCTCTACGAGAAGGAGCACTCTCTAATAGAAGGGCGGGAGCCATTGAGTTCATAGCCTGGTAAATGCCAAATTATTTTGCAGTGTTTGGTGTGATATAAATTTCAATATGCTTCAGCACCAGGAATGCACTCACCTCCTTCAGAAAAATGATCTGTTGCCTAATTGCTCAGGTAATAGGTGGAACAGCAGAACCTTCTTACTTGCTACTTAATCCCC